AACTACCGCGCTTTTTCCCTTTTCTAACCCCCAATAAGGCATTTTGGTTTGAAAAGATTCAAAGCACTCAGCTCCCTGCGTCTGTCCTGACGTCAATAAATGGGTGATACTAACGAAAACGCTACGTTAAATTGAGTTGGGTTTCTATCCCACACCTTTCCCTTTCCAACTAAACAAATTCAAAGCTTGTTAAAGGTAGCCTATTGATCTATCTTTTGTGGGGATGGATGATTATGGGGTGGGGATTATGTGGGGTTTGGGGAGCGGAGGGGGGTATCATTTATGAGTGAGTGATGACTCTTAAAACAAGGCCTGTAGGTCAAGCTCAGTAAGACGTCTCTAAATCGCTACCTCAGAATTACAAAGTTCTAGATCTATCTGCTCAGTGAATAGTTTTGAAAAATTTCACGTCAATGACTTTTGAGTTTCACAACAAGTCAAGCTTTTTCTAATACAATTCTTTGAATATCTTGATAACGACTACGAATAATTTAACGATTTTGATATGGCAGACAGCTAGAACATCTGGTTTCTCACCTCATGGTCTAGGTAACTCAAAACCGTAAAAAATGTTATAGATAGAACTTTGTCATTCTGACGTAGTGAAATTGTAACAGGAAGTTTGGGAAGACCGTTTCCGGGGAGTAGGCGATTCTGCGGAAATTCATCTCTGGTGTGCAGCTGTCGAAACAGGGGGCACTGAGCTGACACTACATACTTCTGGAGACATACTGTAAGATTTTCTACTTGGGAGTGTATACAGACCCGGTAATCGGGAACAAAGTCATGAAGTATAGAGACTCGGTAAGGGAGTCTTTTGTGATTTCGGAAAGTTTCAGCGTCCTCTTGGCTCAGGGTAGACTTAGATTCTTCCAGATCTATGGCCTAGTTCTAGATCTAGACAGTTAGTAACTGTAGACTGACAGACATAAATCATAGATCTAGTTTCGAGGCCTAGACCTAGATCTAAATGAGGATTGCGGATGTCTTTTCGATGAACGATAGTTTTTTCTCCGTTTTGAAGTTGGGGGAATCAATAAGACAATTTGAAGAAAAGAACAAAGTCATAACTTCAATCGAGCAGTCACCCTCTCTATTTCTCTGTCTCTCTCAACAGTTTTCTACCTGCATCCCCCCCCTCTCTCTCTCTCTCTCTCTCTCTCTCTCTCTCTCTCTCTCTCTCTCTCTGTCTGTCTGTATCGCTCGCCTTCTTTTTCTCTTTGTTTGTCCCTGTCTTTCTTTCTCCCCCACCTACTTTCCCACTTTATCTTTCTCTAGTTCCCTCCTGTCAACTGGGGCATGTGTTATTTGCTAGTACTTTCTCCTGTTCTC